TGAGGCTGGGGGGGGGTGCAACCCAGCTTCACCGGGGCCCTGGCTTCGAGCGGGATACTGATAGAAAGAGGTCTTGGACAGTGATGCCCGGCAGCGACATAGCCCTTGCGCGTCCTCCGCATCTTTATCCGTTAAAGAAACCAATTGAAGAGGCTGTTCCTGGCCTCTCTGCATGGGGTGGAGAAAGCTGACAAAGAGAACTTTTTCTCCCACTCCCAAAATACTAGAACTCGGGGGCATCCAGTGAAGCCGACGGGCAGTAGGTTCAGGACGGACAAAAGGAAACACTACTTTGCACAGAGAGTGATTAAAATGTGGAATTTGCTGCCAGAGAATGTGGTGATGGCCACAGGAGTAAACAGCTTTCAAAGGGATCAGATAGATTCAGGGAGGAGAAGTCTCTCCGTGGCTACTAGTCGTGGTGACCGAAGAGAAACTCCACATTCAGAGGCATTAATCTTCTGAATCCCAGAGCCAGGAGGCAACATCAAGGGAAGGCCTCAGCTTCTGTGCCTGGTTGTTGGCCATCCACAGAAACTGGCGGGCCACTGTGTGAGACAAAATGCTGGACTAGATGGACCCTCACTGGTCTGACCCAGCCGGGCTCTTCTGGTGTTCTTATCAGGGGAAGGCCTCGGCTTCTCTGCCCTGTTCTTGGCCCTCCAGAGGAACTGGCTGGCCTCTGTGTGAGACGGGAGGCTGGACTAGAGGGACCCTCCCTGGTCTGACCCAGCAGGGCTCTTCTGGTGTTCTTATCAGGGGAAGGCCTCGGCTTCTCTGCCCTGTTCTTGGCCCTCCAGAGGAACTGGCTGGCCTCTGTGTGAGACGGGAGGCTGGACTAGAGGGACCCTCCCTGGTCTGACCCAGCAGGGCTCTTCTGGTGTTCTTATCAGGGGAAGGCCTCGGCTTCTCTGCCCTGTTCTTGGCCCTCCAGAGGAACTGGCTGGCCTCTGTGTGAGACGGGAGGCTGGACTAGAGGGACCCTCCCTGGTCTGACCCAGCAGGGCTCTTCTGGTGTTCTTATCAGGGGAAGGCCTCGGCTTCTCTGCCCTGTTCTTGGCCCTCCAGAGGAACTGGCTGGCCTCTGTGTGAGACGGGAGGCTGGACTAGAGGGACCCTCCCTGGTCTGACCCAGCAGGGCTCTTCTGGTGTTCTTATCAGGGGAAGGCCTCGGCTTCTCTGCCCTGTTCTTGGCCCTCCAGAGGAACTGGCTGGCCTCTGTGTGAGACGGGAGGCTGGACTAGAGGGACCCTCCCTGGTCTGACCCAGCAGGGCTCTTCTGGTGTTCTTATCAGGGGAAGGCCTCGGCTTCTCTGCCCTGTTCTTGGCCCTCCAGAGGAACTGGCTGGCCTCTGTGTGAGACGGGAGGCTGGACTAGAGGGACCCTCCCTGGTCTGACCCAGCAGGGCTCTTCTGATGTTCTGCCAGGGAAACGGCTCCCTTGTTCCGTCCCCAGCATTCTCCATTGTTGAGAGCCGGTCCCCTTCCCCTTCTCCTTCCCGCCCCTTCTGAACTGGCTAGGGAAGACTGGGGATGGGAAGGGATTACTGCTTTCTGTGTTACCGTGTCCTCTTTCTCATCTGCCTCCCTCAGTCCCACGCCGGGAAGGTGGTGCTGCGCAGCTGGTACGAGAAGAACAAGCACATTTTCCCCGCGAGCCGATGGGAGCCCTACGACCCTGAGAAGAAGTGGGACAAGTATACGGTGCGGAATGATGAGGGGGTTTGCAGGGGTGCGAGAGGTGGCGGGGGGGGGGTGAGAAACCAGGAGGCAACGGAGATCTGTGGAAGGGTGTGTGTGGGAGTGACTGGAATCCATGGGGCGGAGGGAGGCATCGCCAGCTAGCGGTGCTCCCAGAAGGCCTCTGTGAAGGACCCCTTCCGCTTCTCTCCCTCAGAAGCTAGATTTTTCCTCCGTTTTTCTGTCCCCTCACTGACTGGGCTGCCCTGGTAACGTCTTTTCTTCTCCCCCAAAGAAACTTTGGCTGTCCCACCCTGTCAGAAAGATATATTTCGGTTATTTTCTCAGCCCAGGAACCTGAGGGAAGGGATAGGATCGCCCTTTAGCTTAAACCCTTGAAAATGGCACTCGAGACACTTTAAGAACTCAAAAATAACAAAAGTTTTTATTTAACATTGAGGCAAACAGTCAGGTGAAATCAGGGGTTGAAATTACTGAGGTAAATTACTGAGGTAAAATTACTGAGGTAAAACTAGTACCAGCACAGACTTTTGTTCTTACATATCAGATTAATGAGAGGGCGGCCAGTTGCTTTAACGCCCCACTGGTCAGTTCCCAGAGATGCTGGAAGTCGTTTCTGGAACCCGAGAACCTGGGTTAGGCGGAGCCAGGTCCCCTCTTTGCAAGGAAACCCTTCTGCCTCCTTATGTGGAGCTTCACAATAGGAAGAACAAATTTAGAGGCCAAATTCAATATGGCACCCAGCTGTACGCATTTTCTTCTCCAGCATCTTCTCCTTGGCAGAAAAGCTGTAAGTTACAGCAGAGGTAACAGGAGGGGGGATAACAGGGAGAGGAAAGGGTTAAATCACCAGTTGGGGGTAGTGGTTAGGAGTGCGGACTCTAATCTGGGAGAACTGGGTTTGATTCCCCACTCCTCCACATGCAGCTGCTGGTGCAACCTTGGGTCGGTCACAAGTTCTCTCAGAGCTGTTCTCTCAGGAACAGTCCTCGAGAGAGCTCTCTCAGCCCCGCCTACCTCACAGGGTGTCTGTTGTGGGGAGGGGAAGGGAAAGGAGACTGTAAGCCACTCTGAGACTCCTTCGGGTAGTGAAGGGCCAGGGTATAAATCCAGTCTCCTCCTCCTCTTCTCCTTCTTCTTTTCCCCTCTCCCCCTGTTGAAGTCCAGCCTTTGGGGTCATTTGTGAAAAAGGAAAGAAGAGACAGAGAAAGGAACCGTGCATATTGTCCCTGAGCCCTTTCTAGGGACTTCTGCCACCTCGTGGGGGGATGCTGTGTGTGTGTGTGGGGGGGGTCACTAGCACCGATGGCTTTAAAACGGGCTAGACAGATTCAGGGAGGAGTGTTGAACCAAAGTTGACTAGGCCTGGTGACTTAAGTCAAATTCTGAATACCAGGGCCAGGAGGCGACATCACGGGAAGGCCTTGGCCTCTATGCCACGTGATTGACAGCTGTGGCCACCGTGTGAGACAGGGTGCCAGACTAGATGGACCACTGCCCTCATTCTGGCCAGACGCTTCTTACGTTCTTACAAAGGTCTCAGACTCTATGCCATGTTAGTTGGACCTCCAGAGGAACTGGTCGGCTGCTGTGTGAGGCAAGATGCTGGACTAGATGGACCCTCACTGGTCTAATCCAGCAGGGCCCTTCTGGTGTTCTTCTGACGACCTCAGCCTCTATGCCCTGCACTTAGTCCTCCAGGGGGACTGTTCGGCCACTGTGTGAGACAAGATGCTCGATTTGCTGAGCTACTGGTCTGACCCAGCAGGGCTCTTCTGATGTTCTTATCAGGGGAAGGCCTCAGCCTCTATGTCCTGTTGTTGGCCCTCCAGAGGAACTGTATGAGGTGGGATGCTGGACTAGAGGGGCCACTGGTCTGATCCAGCAGGGCTCTCCTAATGTGATCAGGGGAAGTCTGTGTCCTCTGTGCCCTGCTGCTGGACCTCCAGAGTAACTGGCTGGCCACTGTGTGAGACAAGATGCTGAGCTAGATGGACCACTGGTCTGACCCAGCAGGGCTCTTCTTATGTTCTTATGAAGGCCTCAGCTTCTCTGCCCTGTTGATGGCCCTCCAGAGGAACTTGCTGGCCCCTGTGTGAGACAGGATGCTGGACTAGATGGACCACTGGTCTGATCCAGCAGGGCTCTCCTGATGTTCTTATGAAGGCCTCGGCGTCTGTGCTGTGTTTGCTGGCCCTCCAGAGGAATTGGCTGGCTGCTGTGTGACGCATGATGCTGGACTGAATGGACCACTGGTCTGATCCAGCACGACTTTCTTAGTTTGTTAGAAAGAACCCATATTTTGACATTCTCTGGCTTCCTTCCTTCCACTGAGGATCGTTCCAGAGGGCCGCCATCTTGGTCTGCCGCAGAAGAGCTCGATTCTAGGCTGGTAGCCCCTCAGAGACCAACAAGATTTTCCAGGGGATGAGCATTCGAGACTCAAAGCTCCCTTCTTTGTTCCGCTGGTGGCCCGTCACGATTAAACGAGGCCCTCTGCTCGCTCGCTCTCTCTCTCTCTTGCCGAGTTCTCCGCCCCACCCGGCAGGTTCTCCAGCCGCTAGCAAAAGCAATGATTTCCCTCTGCCCACAAGACCACGGCCTTGTCCATTATTAAATTCTTCTGCTCGCTGTGGTCCGTGAGGTCGTGCGCATTAATCTCGTAGAACCCTCGAGGGAGTTTCCTTCTGCGGTCGGTCGTCGTCAGCGCAAACAAACTACCTTTGGGGTTGTACTCGGCCAAAGGCCTTGCCTGCCTGCGGGGTTACCGGATGGATGCGGGGGAGCATAAGGCTCCTGTCATAACCAAGACCAGGAATAACTCCCATCTTTTTCTTCCCTGCAGATCCGCTGATCAGCTGTCGGCGGGGCGTCCCGTGTCGTCCGTGGCCGCCCGATGCCTCCCCCGACCCTACCGCCACATCTTTTTAGTTGAGACCGGCCCTGCAGCCTTCGCAGCTGGGAAACCACCACCCCCCCCCCGTCAAATGTATCAACCTTTAGTGAAATAAACACTGCTCTCCCCCAACCTGGAGTTTCGCATTGCACAAACCCACTCTTTCTACGTCCGGTTCCGATTTTCGGTCCGTGCTGTTGGAACTGAGTTCGAGCCAGCTAGCGCCGGAATCGGCTCTCGGGGTCAGGGTTCTAAATCATAGGTCGTCATAGAGTGATCTTGAGCGTGTGCAGAGGGTCCTTGTATGGTTTAAAAAAATGTATGGTGAACACAGCCTCTACCATAGAGTTTATGCCCAAATACCAGACTGCCCCACATCACCATAATGACATCACTTCCAGTGGGTCCTGAAAGTGATGTCACCATGAGGCCTCTCCTCACTGCTAATAATTCCCCCACCAATGCTTCCTCTAAGCTGTGGAGTCTTGCGAGCAAAAACTCTACTTTGTGAGCTACTGGCATTCAAGTTGTGAGCGAGCGATTTGGCTACTGCATAAATTCCTCTGCTCTGGAACCCTCCTTCCTGAGCTAAGACAAAAATGTGTGAGCTAGAGGCTAAAAAAACTGTGAGCTAGCTCACACTAACTCAGCTTAGAGGGAACAACTGCCCCCCACCCCCCACCAGTTGCCAGAAGAGGCCTGACAACCCTATTGGCGGCCTGGGGGGTGGCCCCATTCAAGGGACTGGGGCAGGGAAACAGCTGGGAAACCTGCCTTCCGGAAGCCCCATTTCTTCCTTTGTATCTCGCAGTCCTCCCCAGTTGGGATTCTCCCTTCCTCCTTTTTACCACCACAACAGCCTTGTGAGGTAGGCCATGCTGAGAGATTGGGACAGGCCCAAGGTCACCCAATGAGTGTCCATGGTAGACGTGGGGGATTCGAACCTGCGTCACCCAAGGTCCTCGTCTGCCACTCTGCCCACTACCTCACGCGGTCTCTCGCCGCTTCACCACAATTTGCCCTCAACCCAACTGAGAGCAGAGGCCTGCACTCTCGGGTCCATTTGAATCCTTTTTCATTTTGTAAATTAAGCGCTAGGACTCTGGACAGCTCCAATTGTGACGAATTGGCTTAATAAACTGCACGTTGCCTCCAGCGGGTTTCCTTTCTGGGATTTGCCACGCATAGGAAGGCCGGGCTCTTTTGAAAACCCTTCCCCATCGCCTAGAAGACCCCCGTACGTAAGGCCACAAAAATAACCGGCCTGCCGATATTTTCCCAGCCCCCCTGCCTGCAAATGCTTTTCTGTTAGTTATTGCACATTAACCAGGGTTGGGTGGGAAGACCCTCCGTCCTTTCAGTTGACAGAATTTACAGTTTTCAGCCACTGGACTCAGACTTGGCCCTGTTGCTTCAGACCGACACGGCTGACCACCTGAATTTTCCTGTGTTTGTTTAGCTGACCACAGTCTTTACTTCCCTCTATCTACTTGCAAGCCCAAACTAGGCGGTATCTGCATTACTTTATCTTATTTAAAGCTGTTAGATCTCCCCACAAAAATGCTGCTTATTTACTTACCCGCTTCACTGCAGGGGTTTTGGCTCAAAAGCCCCCTAGGCAGCTAGCCAAATAAGACCCTGTATGCTTGCACACATTGAAACCGAACGACTGTCGCTCTGGAATGGAGAATAAAGGCTATGTTATAATGCTCCCTCTAAGCCACTGATGGCGAACCTTTTAGAGACCAAGTGCCCAAACTACTACTTTAAGTAAAACCCACTTATCACAAAGTGCCAACATGGCAATTTAACCTGAATACTGAGGTTTTACTTTAGAAAAAGCAACTCATACATTAACTTAAGATGATCCAAACAAAGTAAGGAAAGCAATCCCACATGTTTTCATTTACTTAAAATTATTTGGCAGAGAATTCGACACTTTAATTTTTTTTTTATAATAACATTTTTTATTTTTAACATTTCTGACATTTCTAACAATTAACAACTAATCTTTGTGATTACAGTAACATCCTGCAAACATTCACTGAGCTCGTACAGAGTTATAACATGTTTCTTGAATTACAATACATTACTCAGTACAGAACAGAGTCTATCTTGACGGTATATATGCAATAGACAGACTTAAATGAAAAATTTTGGAATCATTCTGAACTATTGAAGTGCTGAGACAAAAAACATTTTTAATGATGGTCTGGGCCTGGCTGGGGCGATGGCACGCGTGCCCGCAGAGTGGGCTCTGAGTGCCACCTCTGGCACCCGTGCCATAGGTTCGCCACCACTGCTCTAAGCTGTGGAGTCTTGTGAGCAAAGATTCGACTTCGTGAGCTCCTGGCATTAAAGTTGTGTGCGGCCGATTTGGCTGCTGCATAAAATTAGTTTGCCCTGGAGCCGCCCTTCCTGAGCTGAGACAGAAATCTGTGAGCCGGAGGCTAAAAAACTGTGAGCTAGTTCACACTAACTCAGCTTAGAGGGAACACACATCAGCTCGGACCTGAACGGCCCAGGCTAGCCCAATCTCATCAGATCTTGGGAGCTAGGCAGAGTCAACCCTAGTCAGTAGGATGGAAGACCACCAAGGACGTCTAGGGTCGCTATGCAGAGGCAGGCAGCAGCAAACCACCATCTCTTGCCTTGAAAACCCTACAAGATTGCCAGAAGTCCACTGCAACGTGATGGTAGTCACATGATCGCATCCCAGGGTACCTTGGGGGGAACCATGAGAAACTCTAAAGAACTAGTTTAGATATGACATTGCTCTTTGCAGCAGCCCAAAGCAGCCCTGTAACTACATATTTTTTTGGGGGGGGCGCAGCTAATTAAATCAAAGTTAATTACATGAATTCAATTTGGGGGCCAGCCCGGGAGGGAGGGGGCCTGGAAGAAACGCAAGAGGGCCAGGCCCCGCATTAGCTACAGGCCTGGCCCAAAGAAGCAAGTGCTGCTTTCTCCATGTTGTACAAACTGAGTTGTAGCTAAGTCAAGTGGCACATTTAAAAGTATTGTGGGGTTGACCCCTCCTGATTGAACCGCTACCTTATGTCAAAGGGATCAGGGGAAAGGGTTCAAGCTCAACTGTGGTCCCCTGTGGACAAATTTATCGAGGCATAAAGCCAGAGCCTGCTTCGGCTGATGCACGAACTGCTGCCTTCAGTTGACAGAGGTACGTATGCCCAAAGCAACACCAAAGCAGAAGGTTCAGTGGAAAGTTATTGCAGCGCAAGACCAGAAGGCCCGGTTTCCCAGATGTGTTACGTTACATTGCCGAATACAGATGAAAACAGGATCTGGGTAAACAAAATCCATACCGGGTGGGTGTAGATTATTCCCAGCTGTTTGAAGTTGCACAGTTAGGAAACCACTGCCTTCCCCATCTTACCAAGCCAGGGATAGAATTCATGGTCCTGATACTGAATCCCCTTTTGTTACCTTTGTAGTTAGGTGATGGAGGACGAAGGGGGGAAAGCATTTTTAGAAGGTGGGAAGGGCTTGCTTAATTTGTACCAATTCCTTTCCCAGACACCAGGTGGCACTGTCCTATTGCAGTCCGAGCTCAATTCATTTCCAAAACGGAAAACTGATCTCCCCCAGGGCCAGTATTCATGCAATTCACCTCTGTTGCTGCCACAGTACTATGTTCGAAAGGAGGGTGCCGGGTCCATAAACCTGTTGCTTTACAACCTCTAACATTCCCTCATTTTAGATCGTGCCCGGGAATCTGAGCAATAGGCTTAGAACAGATAGAGTACTTCTTCACCCAAAGAGTAATTAACACGTGGAACTCACTGCCACAGGGAGTGGTGTGGCGGCTACCAGCACAGACATCTTCAAGAGGGGACTGGATAAACATATGGAGCAGAGGTCCACCAGTGGCTATTAGCCACAGGGTACAGATGGAATACTATGTCTGGGGCAGTGATGCTCTGTTGTCTTGGTGTGGGGGGGAAGAGTGGGGGGGCTTCTGGAGTTCTGGCCCCGCTGTTGGACCTCCTGATGGCCCCTGGGTTTTGGCTGCTCCGTGACACAGAGTGTAGGACTGGATGGGCCACTGGCCTGATCCAACATGGCTTCTCTTATGTCCTTGTGTCTGGGGCAGTGATGCTTTATATTCTTGGTGCTTGGGGGGGCCCACAGTGGGAGGACTTCTGGAGTTCTGGCCCTGCTGGTGGACCTCCCGATGGCCCCTGGATTTTGGCCACTGTGTGACACAGTGTGTTGGACTGGACGGGCCACTGGCCTGATCCAACATGGCTTCTCTTATGTTCTTATGTCTGGGGCAGTGTGTCACACAGTGGCCAAAACCCAGGGGCCAGCAAGAGGTCCACCAGTAGGCCCAGAACTCCAGACGCCCTACCACTCTTGCCCCCCCCCCCAGCACCAAGAAGACCTGGACATTAATAAGGTGTGTGTGAGGGTGCCCCATGACTTGCACCTGCTGGATGACCTTGGGCAAGCCATCGTTCTGTCAGAGCTGTTCTTGAAAAAGAGCAGTCCTTGAGAGAGCTCTCTCAGCCCCACCTGCCTACCTCACAGGGTGTCTGTTGTGGGGAGGGGAAGGGAAAGGAGTTTGTAAGCCGCTCTGAGACTCCTTCAGGTAGTGAAGGGCGGGGTATAAATCC